ACTATGAGATCTATGATAAGAAGCTTTTAGCAATTATGCTAGCTCTGACCAAATGGCAACACTATCTGATCAGGATCATTCAAACCTTCAAAATTTGGATCAATCACTAAAACCTTTGATACTTCTGACTCCCTTAGAAGCTTAATCATTGACAAGCCAGATGAGTAACAGAGCTTTCAGAGTACAACTACACACTGCATCATAAAGCCAGAGTGATAAACAGAAAGGCTGACCATGACCAGAAGAGAGATGACAACAAAGAAGTGGTACTATTGAAGTCTAAGCACTTCTGAGTAATGATCATACCAACTAAGAAAGAGATCCATGCACAGATCAAGAGCACCATAACAGATAACAGCAAATGGGACCAATAAGTGGCTCTATCACTCAATTATGAATGAGGAATGATAAAGAAAGAAGAGTTGATCTGTTACAATGGATAGATTTACATTCTATGAGATCAGCAACTTCAGAGGGAAATTATTGCCATCTGCCACAATCATGCAATGGCAGGATATCTGAGGATTGTGAAGACTAAGGAACTCATATTACAGGATTACTGGTGGCTCAAACTCAGCTAAGACATAGAGCAATATGTCAAAGGATGTGAAATCTGTCAGTGAGAGAAGGCTTCAACTCAACCACATGCAGTGCTGCTACACCTTAATAAGGTTCCACAGGCACTGTGGACTCATATTTCAGTCAATATGATAACCAGATTACTGGACTGCAATAGATATGATGCTATTCTTGTCATTATTGATCACTTCTCTAAAGCAATCATCTCTGTGGCATGTTCAATGGAATTAACATTGGAGGGATGGGCCAAGATCTTATGAGATGAAGTCTATGCTAAATATAGTATGCCCCAAGTTGTCATCTCTGATAGGGGCCTACAATTCATCTCTAAATTCTTAGATGACTTGTACTGCTTATTAAACATCTAATGCAATGCCTTGATAGCATATCATCCTCAAACCAATGGACAAATGGAATGCATCAACCAGAAGGTCAAGAAATACCTCTGGTTGTTTATTAATTATCATCAGGATGATTGAGTAGAGTGGCTTGCTCTAGCTGCCTTCCAACATAATAACTGCATTCACTCAGCTACTAGAAAGATACTATTCTTTATCAACTTCAGCCAACATCCAAATGTTTCACACAAATAACAGCTCACTATGTTCACTTTCATCTCATATGATTTTGCACAAGAAATGTTCAAGATCCATGATGAAACATATATTGCCCTCAAGAAAGTGGTGACTTCAATAAAGAAACAATATGATAAGCATCATGCTCCTGCTCATTCTTACCACATCCATGACAAGGTCTGATTTGACACCACCAATCTACATCTTCTCCATTCAAAACAAAAACTTGCTGACAGATGGATCAGACCTTTTCTTATCATAGCAAAGGTTGGTATCTTAGCACACAAATTATGCCTACCAACAGAGTGGAAAATTCATGATGTCTTCAATGAAGTCCTTCTCACCTCCTTTATCACTTCTGCATTCTCAAATCAAGAACAACTGCCACCACTAGCACTTGAACTGATCAATGACAAGGAATACTATGAAATCAAAAAAGTACTTAATCATCAACTATGCAAAGTCTATGCATGTGGTAGAGGAACAACAACAACTATTGATTATCTGATTAGCTGAAAGGGCTATAGTCCTGAATCCAGCCAATAAATAAACAGAAAATATATGAATGCTAATGATGCCATCTATGACTATAAACTATCTCTAAATTAAGCCATCAAGATGATGGTCTTAAGGAAGAGATAATATTACAATTTTTCTATCTTTTCTTCACTTTTACCCCCATTTATGCTTAGTCAGAGTGCTTGAGGCCAGCACTTAGAACCATGAGACAGGCTTAATCATCACAACAAGCTGAGTCCATCATTGTCTTCTGATGCAATGACACTTCTTGATAACACACAACAACTCTTTTGTAGACAGTAGCAACATCTAAAGACAATGGGCACAAAAACTCAAACAGACACAATAAGTAGTATTATATTTATCTTGATGGACAAGTAGTATATAAGTAGATTAGCTCTTGCTGTGTATTTCCAGCTTCAAGCTAAAGTTTATTTTCTACCATTCTATCTTGAGCTTCTTGTAAACAGCCTTGAGACACAAAGCTATATGAACACATATAGTGAACTCAGACATAACTGTATGAAGACAATACAGCACCTGTTTATCATGTGTTCAGATCATATATCACTTGAGCTTAACAAAGATGATCTTGGACATTGGGCATGGCATTCTGAAGGGATACAATAAGTGGAAGGAGTGCATCACTATAATAAATCAGAAGCAACAGTAATAGAAGATGGTAATAAGTGAGTATCAGATAAGTAACAAGAAGACTGGAGGAGACAGCCACAAAGGGACCATCACATCAATGCCATCCAAGACAGGCACTATCTCTTTTTATTCTGCCTAGAAAACTGCCACTGGAACCACCTACATGGGTTTGAGAAAGCTGATGGATATTGACTGAATGAAGAAGGAAGGAAAATGTTTCAATTGCAGAAAGAAGGGACATTTGTCATAGAAGAAGAAATGCACACAAGAAGATATATGGGCACAAATCACTAAGTTGCAGAAAGAAGCAGACAGACTCAAAGAAAACAGCAAGGAGACAAAGATTGAGGAGGTAAAAGACAGAGCTGATGAGTGAGTGATTTCACTCAGTCAGCCAAAGGACTTGACAGTGTGTCTCTTGTAGCTGCTGGACAGACTTATGTATCCTCTGTAGTTATCCCTATTTACATGCATTCAAATATACCCAGTATTACAACTGCAACAAGACCATCCAAAGAATCACCAAAATCTAAGACTCAATTGCCTACAGATCAAACAGAAGGAGCAACTCCCACCAGCTGGCTCAAGCCATTTGGCACTGAATGGACTTGGTGAGCCATCAAAAACATGAAGATGGAAGAGAAAGCCAAGGTGGTACTCAAAAACTGAGTACACCAGACCCAAGCAGAGAAAGTTGTTGATGAGATAATTGAGGAAATGAGGAAAGCTGAATGATGTCAGGCATTGGAATGGCTTGACAAGCTATGGGAACCAAAGAAGTACATTCAGAGGCAGAAGACTACTGGCTGAAACCTAACCACCAAAGCTCAAATTAAGATGCTCACTACAAGGACTGCTCACACAGTCTCTGCCCTGATCAATAGTGGTTGCACTGGGTGCTCAATCAATTGTGCTTTCATCATCAAGTACAACCTTCCAACCTGAGCCACTGTGGCTCCTATTCTAGTATACAATGCAGACAGAACCAAGAACCAAGCCAGCTTGATTACTGAATATATCAAATAAAAAGAACATGATTGAAGTATGATTGAGACTTCACATCATATTGATCAATGATGCATAATCATTGATATGCTGATGGATGTGCTTTGGAACAGAGAACTGATGCACCATAAGATAAATCTAGATATCTGAACCATTGGCTGAGAAACAAGAAGATTATGAGAAAGTGATGACTAGAGAAATAATTCCAGAGGTCTGGAACACATACTGGGCATGAGTTAATTGCTCTGAGGAGATAAAAAAGTGAAGAGGCTGATGGCTAGACCAGCTAATCAATGTCAAGTTGCATAGAAACCACAGACACAGTCCCAACTCAGAACAGAATATGCATGTCAGACAGCAACATGCATAGGAGTAACTCTCATGATAATCTCTCACAGTTGCAGTGTATTGGGCATGAAGGCCTTGCACTCCAACTCTGGGTTTGAGTTTGTAACTTCAGGCAAGAGAATAGACCCTTTATTGAGATCATTAAGAGAGATTTGAGAACTGTGTGAGGTATCAAAAGCTTCTGCAGGACTCTAGTCTGATTTAATAAGAGGTTTTGAATTGTGCTCTAGTCTGAGAATAAGAGAGCAGTGTCTGAAGAACACTCTTTTGAGTTTTTGAGATATTTGTAACACAAGGCACTACAGGTGGCAGAGGTTCAAACTCTTTAAATGGAAAAACATCAGGTAAAAGTATCAGGCTGTGGAATGACTCATAACACATTTTCTCTGAGTTGGAACCAGTTTCTTTTGCAGGAGAACATGACCCTTGAGGTCCACTCCTTTTCCCTTACAACATTTTTCCATGATTAAATGTCTCTTTGGACCAGGAAAGCTGTTGAGAAAACACTTAACCTTTTTGAGGTCTCATCTTTTAGGCTCGGAAACTCGTCTTCTCCCGTTCCTCGTGATTTCCAGATACTGATACTTTCGTCTAGGGGAACAACACTCAGGGTGATCTCAACATCCGTATTCATTCATGGTCGAATTCGGACCGCTCGCTGCGAGGTTTGCTTGTGACAATGATCTAGTGCTATCCAGTGCTTACTTTGTTCCCAGCTTTGGGACAAGGAAAGGGACAAATTGTACGTTTCCGCTGTTCATACGACTGTCAACAACATACGCCCCTCCCTGGTTAAATTATAAATCTTCGTTCGGCAAGGCGAAACTAGTAATTATCGTACACTCCGGTTTGTTATGCTATCAGTTATCAATATCTGTTATAATTCCGTAATTCATGACGCGCTCCTCGACGACTAGATCGTCCCCTGCACCCAGAACAGTCGATACAATTTGAAGTAAGGTCCAACCAAACCTTGACAATCTATCAATGTCAGTCCGCCTACGGTGGCCTCAATGTAGCCGGGGATCTCCAACTGCTACTCAAGGGAAACTACAAGCAAGATCTTCCTATTACTTACTCTGGACCGAGAATACTCTATTGCCAACGCCCATCAGATTTATGTATATTTAGAGGAATTGTCTTTTCGTGAGCGTTTGGTGGTCGTTTGCAATATCGACGGCGCTAAATCTTGCCTTATTCTACGAAAGCGACATTCAACAAGAGCAAAATAAGTGCGTCGAAGAGGATCTACACGAAGAAAAGAAGCCGAATGAACAAGAAGGTAAAATGGGGATGGTGCATATACACTGAAGTAATGCATCATTTCCACGTCTTTAATGATGCAAGGCCCGCGATTTCGAGTATCTTGTGGGACGTCTCGGGGAAGAGAAAGAAAACGACGAGCACCTCGATGAAAATCCAGATGACACAGCTGCATGCATGTCTGTGTCAGCACTGGTCATTCGTACAGTAGAGCCTGAGCAACCTGAGATAGTATTTCCAACCTGTGGAAGTATATTCATACCACGCCGTCAAATCCAAGACTCGGGATACGTACCGGCGTTAGCTATTCCAATTGGGTTAACGAACTGGTTGAAAAATCCAGCCGTACGGCTGAACCATTGGAACACAGTGATCCCTTTGGCTCGGACGTGGAAAGGGAACAGCTCGACGAGGAACGCTGGAGATGTTAAGAGTCAGAACGTGGCAGTGCATGCATTGGACGGGCTCACTGTATGTCAATGCGTTGAAGGCCATGTTGTAGGCCGGACTATAGAGGAAGATAAACCTATCGAAGTGGTTAGCGAGATTGCTTTGCTGGAAGAATGAGACATAGGCGATGACAGCGATCGAGGACCCGTGGCTCTCGGTCCGAGTGTAATTTGCACTAGCCACTGTCCATCCCGTGAATATGAAAAGGATAGATGTAATACCCGCCTGGGGTGGTAACGATCAGACATGCGATTGGGTGAGGTGTATACATACCGGGTATACGGTCCTCCGCTTAAATAGTGTGCCGTTGAAAAGCTCCAGTATGTGTTCGCCAGGTTGATGAGATCCTTCGTACGGTTGTCTGTCACGTCGACGTTGTCCAGGATTCGAGCCAGGTAGTATCTGATTTTCATGTTAGGCAAGATTATAATCAATTGGTATCATGCACGATGTTAGACCGTTACCACTCCACTGAGTAAAGAGTCGCAGTAAAGAGCCGATTATAAGGCGTTTCCTCATGCCAGAAGTAGCAACCAGCTCCAACCAGCTCGTTTTGGCCGTTTCCCTTTCTAACGCCAAAGTCTTCTCAATCTGGGCGTATGCGGCTTTTACGAACTCGGAGTCAACGTCGCCTTCGGCGTGATATTTGACGAGGGACGCATACGCTTCTTCGCCTCTGCCTTTGGAAATGAGCTATCTTGGGGAGTCTGGAATGAAGATGAAGGTAATCTGCATCAGACTGGGAACGAGTTGAACGAGCGACGGAATACGCTACCCCCAGTTGCTGTCCATGTTGAACGTGCCAAGCGTAATACCAGCGGCAACGATCGACCCTTAAGATAGAATAAGACAAGGCGGCAGGAGAAGACGATGAGCGACGTACCTATAAACCAGCAAGAGCTGAAAAGGGAGCCAAGAACAGCGCGCTCCTTAGGGTGTGACAGCTCTGGAGTAGTGTTATGTGAATCGTATGCTCAGACGTGGCTAGCTTATGCGTACCTCCGATGAGGGATGAAGCGGCTACGATCACGAATGGAATACCAAAGCCCAATACAAGACGAGAGCATACGAACATAGCGACTTTTGGTCGGAACAGAGTCAATTAAACAAACTTTGGAGGAGAAGAAGTCAGACGTACAGTTCTGGGATGCCGTCTGGAGGGCAGCGCCGACTATCATGAGGACACTTCCAAAGACAATTGCCCACCGCCGTCCCAAGTGATCGGTGACATAGGGAACGAACAGAAGTACAGCGATGGCACCAAGGGAATAAATTGCTGACATTAGACCAAGAAGCGTCGATCGAGGAGAGTGATAGACTATGATCGATGTCAGCGATGCTTTCATTCTGAGGAGAATAATGCTTGATGTGCACAGGTATCCCAGGAGTCCACAGCTTGTAGGCCATTCATCATTGAAGAATCGAATCTGACAGTCAACTTTCAAAGCAGTGAAGAAATACATAGCTGCTCCTCTTACCCACTAGTCATCTCTACCCCGATACAGGCTGGAAACAGAAGCAAGTATAGAAGGCGTAGGTTTGGTTTTCGATACCATGGTGTCTTGTCCTGTGCTGCGAAGCGAGATACTGAGTCTGCGACATCCTTACTGGTATCCCGTGGAACCATCAGAGCTGGTGAAGAAAGACGAAGGCAGATGAAACCTTAGTAGACTCGGAAGGGTGCGTTATAGGTTATAAAGGTCCGCTTCAAACATAGATGTATGGGCCCACGACTGACATGTTTCTCCAGAGATTTGCCGTAACATGCGCTTAGCAAGGACGCCAGGTGAGAGTGAAATTCTCCGTTTCTGAACCGCATCGGCATTATCTTGAGCGAACAGTGGTGACTGTATGGGGAATCTCCAGTGGGGTAATCGATCCGTGTTGTAAAAAAGCAATGAATACGAACTTGATGGGTAGTTCACTGCATGTTCCTGCGCAGGAAGGTCCTCAGAAAGTGAGTTCTAGTTCGGAAAATGTCCGGGGAGAAGGTTGGAATTGACAGCAGACATAGGTGACCCATGACCTTGATATAAGGGTGGGCGCGAGAAATTCGATATCAAGGAAACATCAGCCACACCCGGATCGCTCAGAAGCTGTTGGAAAATATCTTCCAAGCGTCACGGAGCCTGAAGTGGGAGCAACACATAGTAGAGAGGCTGGAAGTCTTGTGTTTGTGGTCCTTGCATGACAGGAGCTATCGAAACTGATGGAACGAATAAGGAAGTCAGGTTGGTGTTGGGCGTTGCTGGGACACGATACGTATTACGGATAGTTCGCGTTCCGGTACCGGTAACTGTGGCTATGATGGCTGCAAATGGTAAGAAGGTATGACTCAGCCATCATATTCACGGCGGTCAGTCCCTTGAAGCCAACCGCGTAAATATTGCTTGTTTCTCTTTTTACAGAAAGTTAAATGCATGGCGTATCAATGTGCAAATATTCCATTACATGAAATCATTGAAATGAGCCCAAAACCAGGCATATCCGAGTAATAACTGCGGCACTTGCGGCAAGCGTACTTATGTCACATACGCATGGTCCGGTCACATATTTGTTTGGTCTTCCGTCTGAATTTAAATGAGTCTGCCGGTGCCGCTCGGCATCATTCGCTTCCTAACCATCTACCTAGACACGACCATACCTTTCCAGCTCGATTCCTCACGATGTTAATCAAAGTCAAGGTCAGAATATCGCGTCCGAAGTTCATTTATATTACTGACATGTTGTCTCAGACCTTGACGGGAAAGGAGGTACCAGTAAATTCCACGCCACTGACCAACATTCTTATTCTTGGGTATTCAGATCGAGCTAGATATTGACCTGGATGACAAGGCAGGTTGACTATCTCGCCGTCCATTTGCGCAGAAGGGGCTTATAAGAGCGTCGCGTCAAGATCACACGAATCAAGGAGAAAGTTGAGGAGCAATCTGGTGTCCCTCCGCCACAGCAGCGATTGATTTTTAGTGGCCGTCAAATGTACGATATTGGGTTACTCTCATTAGATCTCATCGTTGATACGAGTTCTGTAGGGCCGATGACAAGACCGCGAGGGAGTTTAACATTGCACCGGGATCAGTGCTGCATCTGGTCCTTGCCCTTCGCGGTGGGCGGTAATTCGGGATTCAAAACACAGTTGTATGCCTAATTGGTCGTCGTCGCAATGTATCTCATATCGGTCCTCTCACGCAGTCACAGTTATTTGCAGTGATTTATAGAATGCAAGCCTTGTAATCGATTCCTTTTTGATCGTTATGCGCTCTACAGGCCCTCTCTATTTCCTGAATATTGGCCGACTCCACTCTTCCCTCCGAGGTACTCACGTTGAGGGTCCGTCGAGGAGCTTTCGAAGCATCCCCATGTCTACCTTTTTAACTGTTGTCAAGCTACTCATCACCTCAGGGAGGATTACTAGAGTGTAGGCGATATGAAACTTAGCGAAAACCGGATCGTGATGCAGGGGAACATTGATGAAAAGAACAGTGTTGGTGTGATCAGATACATCGCATTCGGAATACATAAATAATCATTTCAATTTTGCTTGGGTTCAAAAAATTCCATATTTTTCAAAGCAGCTGAGCCTGTATTGTATCCACGTACACAAAAATGCTAAGACATAAATGTTGACCGTGTGGGCACTAGTGGGGAACTAACATCAGTGGTCACACTGAGAGAGATATTTACGTAATGGCCACACCTATAGCCCGTGTTGCCGCGGGTTCATTCGCTTTTTCCTTTCTACGCTCATCGTCCTCGGAGTCGTCTTGGTGTGCCGCTGCACTTATCCAACTATACCTTGCCGTATAGAGCGGTCACCTTTCTGCCGTCATTTACCCCAGCTACTGATAGCAATTCTTCCCGGGACCCAGGTCGAGGAAACTTTTTCTCCCTAATCTGTGCTACCTCATCCTAGGGCGGAAGGCCTTACATACACCATCTACACTACCCCTTGGTTCAAATAGGCTTCATGCGCGAATACGTCTACGCTCTGCATGACTTCATTCCCGAAAACGAGGACGAGGTACCCTTTCGGGCTGGGGAGCGGATTGAGGTCGTAGAGAAGGATGATGCATACGGCGATGGATGGTGGACGGTGAGTGATCGTTATGTTATATTCATATGCCGGAAAGACGTTTTCAGAGGCCTGAGACACCTGCCCTTGGCAGAGCATGTATATCAGACCGGCGTTTCGCATTCTCACCCCGCTTTCTCTTTCCCATGGCTCAGACCACATACTCACTTGTCGTTACTAAGGGCCTCAATGGATCTGGAAAGAAGGGTCTGTTCCCTCAGACTTATACTTCGCCTACAGAGCCTACCGTCGCTGTCGGTATTGCGTCCTCCTCTTCACTTCCAGTGGACCCAGATACCACCGTGAAAACGCCCCTGCAGCCTCTACACGAAGAGCCGGAGATAGAGTCGCCCCAGCCGCCTCCTGCTATATTTCTTAATGACCAAGAAACCGTTGGAACTAATGGCGACGGTGAAGTCATGAAAGCAACCATGACAGACGTTCAGAAGGCCATTGAGCAACTTGGCAGAGGAAGCGGGACAGCAGATGACACAGACGGTGCGCAGAGCTTCAGTTTCGCTAGTTCTCATGGAGGTCGGGACACCGAGGAAGATACAGATTTTGACATGAGCGACGCCGACGCTGCTGGTGATGAGGGGGAGGGCTGGCATAAAGGTGCTAGACGGAAGTTGGCGGAGAAAGCGAGGCAAGCAGTAGAGGATGCTGAACGGTTAGAAATGATCGGCATGAGCCGCTCGAGCAGTAACCGGACTTACGCTCCTCCCATTCCCGTGGAGCTTAGCGACGAGAGTGAAGATGAAGAGGATGAGCACGACTATACGCCTCCAGCGGGTCTCCAGGGTCAAAGGAGGCACTCGTACATACCGGAAGAGGATGAAGATGTAGAGTCTGTCCCAGGCCACTCTCTCTTCCCTAACGACGACAAAACTCTAGGCGACCGAGCATCGCATTCCCCTCGCAGCTCGACGCACTTCTCTCCATCAGAGTGTGACGAAGCAGAGATGCAACCAGCTACAGCTACACGTATCAACTTTGCGGCGCAGCCAGAGCGAGTCATGACTCCTCCCAATGAATCCCAGCCCACTTCTCCCAAGTCTGTCACTCTGGCTCAAGCAGCTGCCGTCCCCATGCCTCAATCTCCTCCAGACACAAATAGTGCCAATACGCCAGTAATTGATGCCGTAGCCGCATTGCCATCGTCAGTTGTAGCTACAAACGCGACGACAACGACTCAGTCTAAACATAGCAGTATAGGCTCTTCGCCTGCTTCTCCATCTCATAGCGCACCAGGAAATGACTCCCTGCTGTCGGCAACAGTATCGACAATACCAACTCCAGTGGACAAAAAGGAGAAGAATCATCCGTCCGAATGGTCTCTGGACGAAGTCGTTGACTGGTTGAAAAATAAAGGCTTTGACCAGGATGTTTGTGAAAAATTCACCGGTATGTCTGTCCTGATGTGTCCCGTCCACAGCTCAGCTCACACCGTCTGTAGAGCAAGAAATCACTGGTGATGTCCTACTCGAGCTAGACGTCAATCTCCTCAAAACGGAGATCGGTATTATGGCGTTCGGCAAACGCATGAGAATTGCCAATGCTATCACGGACCTTCGTCGACCACCATCCATCGTCTATTCCGACCACCCAGATCAGCCTTCACCTCACCTCTTCACACAGTCCCCTGCGACATATGCCGATGGCCAAAGTCACTCTAGGAACCAGTCCCAGTCTCAGTCACACCATTCTTACCCTGGCTCAACCAGGTACTCACATAGCGTGCAAAGTTCGATTAATGGATTCGCGGCTCTCATCAGCCCAGAGAGTGCACCCCATACGGCAGATACTCCGGTTTCACCTCCATCGACCCTAGATCCCGAGCCAGAGCCTGTAGGGCTCACTATGTCCGCTACTAATGGAAAGGCGCCCGTGAGTCGATTGCCATAAGTCTCTGGAGCTAGTTTACTAAACATGTTTCTGTTTCATAGAAATCAAGACCGTCTCAGCTGTCATTATCGCCAAGCGATGGTGCAATGGACGCGTCTATCAAAGCTGTTGGGGATATCCCTGAGGAAGTGGAAGAAGAGCGGGAAGAACGCGCTGCGCTTACTGAGGTTGGTCATACAACTCATCCTATTTGATTGATGCTCATCGTGTAATGTTTCAGGGCGAAGGTCTTTCTGCCCGTTCTGTACGAAGGAGGTTGTTTGGTCGTTCTCATGACTCGGAAAATTCTGGAAAAGATTCTGGTTCCCGGACATCGAAGGATGGGATATCGCCGTCATCTCCCGCTTTGTCTATTTATGCGGAGAAGGAGAAGGATAAAGCGAAGGACAAAACCAAAGACAAGGATAAGGACAAGGATATTGCGCGCCATGGACGAAAACAGCGGAGTGTCGATGTTGGCAAGTCTGGTGAACGGCTTAGTTTGTTTGCCGGTTCACTCAGTGCTACACTTGGCAAGAGTCGTAAACCTCCTCCGAAGTATTCGTGCGTGTCTCTCTGCTTTATTCCCATTACGATGATTGACGTTTCTTTTGTCACAGCGGCGACGATACCCCTGAAAAGGGATCATCATTCCATCTTCCAAGACTATATAGCACAAGTAGTCGGAAAACTTCCTCTTCTGGGCGACCGTCGACTCCCGGCGCTCCCAAAGTCTCCAAGGAGCCGAAGGAGGGTTCAGGGGAGAGGCTAGTTGATAAAGAGCAGAGGGAATCGAAGGAAGGACGTACAGAGCATGCCACCCTTCGCAAGCGAACGGCGTCTTACCCTGGATCGTATCCTGTATCCACCGAACTATCCCAGAGCGATGGCCCTGTTGGCCAGCTGAAGCCTGGGCAAAGCATCTTGGAACACATCGGCGAGGCTGATCATACTGGGTGGATGCGCAAGAGAGGAGATCGTTACAACAGCTGGAAGCTACGTTACTTTGTTCTCAAAGGTCCCCATCTGTACTACTTGAGAAGTAACAGTCCTTCGGTGAGCATTTATTCTATGGTGGCTTTGGTTCTGCTCATGACACGAGATTCACTTTATAGGAAACCAAGATCAAAGGATATATCAATATCATTGGCTATCGGGTCACTGTTGATGAAAATGTGAACCCTGGCAAGTATGGGTTCCGCATCGAGCATGAGGACGACAAGATGCACTTCTTCAGTTCCGATGAGAAGGTCATCATCAGGGACTGGATGAAGGCTATCATGAAGGCTACTATTGCACGAGACTATACTCGTAAGAAAATCAACAATGGACGTTAATTTATTACTGACATAGTCATCCCAGAACCTGTCATTTCCTCGTGCAATATCCCTACAATCCCTCTGATGGTTGCCCAAGCTATGAACCCTGCTCCACGACCGCCTTCGCCTACAGCCCGAGAAGCTACTCAGAAAGCACTTCGACGAGACAATCCTAATCAGCTGTCAAGCCGTGATGCCCGTGTCTTGATGGGTCTGCCGTCAAGCGACAATGCAAGGGAAGAGCGGACACGGTTGGAATCGTTCTTCAGCGACCAGTCTGTGGACCTCGGCGCTGATACGATAGATGCAATAACTAAGACTGCACCTCCGAGGCCTTCGCGAAGGAAGAATTCTCTCCTTTCCACGGTATGACTCTTTTTCACAGCATCCTGCAAAGATGATCTGATGGGATCTTTAGATGACGTCTATGGACAGCGACCTTGTCGAATGGGCCAACTCTCACCTTCCTTCGACATTGCAAATCAATGCGACAGAGTCGATTTGCGGTGGTCTTCATCTATTCCGCATCGCAGAGTCTATCAAGGGTCGACCGGTAACACCTCCCGTTCCCGATTCAGCCTTCCCCGTGGACTTGAACGACGATAAAATCGATGGACTTTTCCGTCTCTTTGATTTCATGTTGGATAACGACGTGAAGATGGGGAGTATTAGCATAAACGATGTTCGACAGGGCAAGCCGGAGAAGATAGTGCAATTGCTGAGAGCCCTGAGAGGTTGGGAGGATAAGCGTAAGGCTCTGGCGCAAAGCGTCAGAGGGTCTATGTCTAGCGGCGGGTCTGTTTCGGCTACGGGCTTTATTGGCTCTTCTCCATCTCCACTATGGACGGCAATCTGATCGAGCTTTGGACCTAAGGGGAAATAGTACGCTTTTTTTCGGTTTTTTATCTCACGTTTTCATTCGTGTCTTAATATTCTCTTCGGACAATGTTTTGTGCCATACACTCACTCACTTTCTTTGTAATCACTTTCTCCTTATATCATTACATACTTTACTTATTTGTTGTAGGATTCATATTTAGTGTTGTTAAGGTTCAATCATGATGAACGTTATCAAAACAGACGGGTATGGGAAACCGTTTATCCCACCCCCCACGATGATGAGATCAACTTCGCTGCCTGCCCTTGGGCCCGGCAGACCGGTCCGGGAAAGAGATGAAAGCGACCCATCCTTGGAGTCAACCTTCTTGTCCTTGTGGAAGTCTCCGACTTCATATATCGTCCACCACCAATCTCATTCTTCACAATGATCTTCTGGTCGCTGAATGGGAATTCTGCGGCGTTCTTATCTAGTCGAAGGGCCACTGGATCGCCACTATGATAACTCCAGCGGTATCACGAGGAACCATTGCTTCTTTTAAAGCATGCTATCAGCCATTCTACTCGCTTCTTCTCCCCCCTCACGCCTTGAGCAAAATGCCTCAGCAGTCTACAGCACTAGTGACGAACGAGATCTCGGATGATGGAAAGCCTGAGGTTCCTGATGACTGCTACGCCCAGGATCTTGCCGGAAAGGACGCTTCCGATATTGAGGAAGAGGCGGCAGGTAAGCACGCGAGCAAGAGCATCCAATTCGTGTCCTCGATCAACAACAACGAACCCATCGTGACACGACGCGAACTATGGAGTTATTATCGTATGTTATCTTCTCGCTGCTCTCTTTATCGGTTTTGATTGGGTCTTTCCTGCCAGTGTATTATAATGGTGATAACGTATTTTATTTTTATTTTTATTTGATTGTCGCAAGGAATTTTAATTAATTTGACCGATTCCCTGGTGCAGGGTGTTGGTCCCCTTGGGTACTCTATGACACTATTTCAGTCGCTAGCGAATGCTGCTGGTTATGATCCTGTCAAGGGCCCTGGTTCTTCGTGTGATGCGGCTGATGCTTCGGGACAATGCGTTGTACCTTGGGGGGTAGGAGGAGGAGGAACCAAGGCAGTGTCAAGTGTGGTTCTGGTAGCGAATGGTGTCAGCTTCTCCGTGCGTCGCCGCGTTTCTATCTGTATTCAATGAGAGATCTTGATTTATGTTTTCGCTCAGGTCATGACTATGATATTCACTACAATCGGCTCAGCCGCGGATTACGGAACTTTTGGTCGCTGGCTCCTGTTTGTGATTACTTGCACTTGCTGGGCTGCCCAATTTGCAAGCATGAGTCTCACGGGTGAGCGTTAGCCTTCACCCGTTGAATTGCCAGGCGCGGTCTGAATTGGTGTTTGTAATAGATCCTTCGCGATGGGGTGTGGCTATGGCTCTGTACATGATCGGATTTATCTCTTATGGTGCAACCCTTGTTTTCTACGCCGCCGCTTTCCCCCGCCTGGCACGTAACACAGCCCATGCTCGTGAGCTACGCGAAAAGTTGGATGCTGGTACTATCGCTTTGGAAGAGTACGAGAGGGAGGAAAGCATGGAGAAGAACCGAATCAGTAACATCAGCACGGTCAGAACGAGCCGCTCTGCCATGACTTGACGTTCAAACGATATTTCCAGACTCATAGCAACATCGGATATGTGGTTATACTGTGTCTGAATCTTTCCGTTTTGATTCCTCTCGCCAATAATCCAAAGGTCGATAACTATACCTTGGTCCTGTATGTGCACCTTTCCTCTGGTATTGGCGCGGTGTGGGCTTGTTCATTCGGATCATAGGACAAATGGGTACTGGGTCCTCATTGGCATCTGGTGGTGTGCGTATATCACACAAATGCCGAATTCTATCAGCCTTGTGACCGTAAACAGTTATATTCCAGCAACCTCGTCCAGGACCACCAGTTCCCAAAGGAGAACACTACTTTACGATTGGCTGGAAACAGGTTTGTCCACCTTGGATATTCTGCTGAACACGATCCCCCCTATGATTCTATGTAGATATGGCAAGCCATGAAGCAATACAGGAAACTGCCCTACACGTTCATATACCTCTTCGCTTTCTTTCTATTGGCTGATGTAGGTACCACCCACCTTGTGCTACCGCTATATTTATCTGACATTTCTCCGCATCGTCCAGGGTCTTAATACAACTGGGACCTTGGTATCGATCTGTCAAAATGAGAAATTCTCCTTTAGTTTCCTGCAGAATACATACCTTGGACTGGCGCAGGCGATTACATCAACATCTAGCACGTTGGGCTTCTGGTATATTCAGAGATACTGGAAGATCAGCACTAAGAGAATGGTACGTCGGACTTGTTTAGTGCGATACATCCATCCGTTTTAGCAATACTAGTTTGTTGTGACGAATGCGGTGACCATTCTCATACCGTTGTGGGGTATGATAGGCATTTGGACTGAGGCGATAGGGTGAAGTCCATGTCATGCATAGTAACCTTCCAGTTGCTGACGAAGTTGCGGGTTATTCAAATTAGATTTCACAATGCTTGGGAATTCTGGTGCGATTATCTCTCTCTGTGTGCACATGTTACAACCAGTCCATCTCATGCCTGATCTGATGATCCAGGTTCTATAACATCGTTTTCGGTTTATTCCAAGCCCCGTACTATGCTTTTTCGCAAACGATGATGGCCGAGCTAACTCCACCCGGATTCGATAACATGGTGCGCGTCGTTTCCCGGTCCCGGTGATGATCTCGCTAGTATAGTGATGATGGTGCAGTTCTTTGGCCTCTTCGGTCTATCCAATCGAGCGTCTTCTATGATCGGACCCAACGTCATTCAAGCGATTATCGATAATACTGGAAACAACTGGATGGGGTTCCCGTTCTTGTTCGCTTTGTGCACGTGTGCTTCGTTGGTAATATGGTTTGGGGTGGACGTTACGAAGGGGAGACGAGATGCTGTTGCTTGGGCACAGGGAGCAGGACGATCAAAGGTAGATGAGGATTAGCAATGACGTTGATTTTTTACGGCAGCCAATAAGTTACGTGCGTCATGGATTACGGGAAAACTAAATATACATAAATCTGATGGGCGTTGGCAATAGAGTATTCTCGGTCCAGAGTAAGTAATAGGAAGATCTTGCTTATAGTTTCCCTTGAGTAGCAGTTGGTGGCTTTGAATTCAACGCCATGGTGGTATGGACCGCCGAAACGTATACGACGCCACTAAGTCTGTCTTGGATCTGTGGGAAATTGAATTGATGTATGGTCATAAAATGAGCAGGGAAGCACCCTACTTCGGTACGGGAGGAACGCAGGCGGCCGTCCATCGATATGGTATTCGATACGATTCGCAATCGTGTTCCTCTGAAAGATGTGCCGAATCAGCTGAGCGTGTCTGGACCATGATTATCAGGAAGGTACACACTGCACTGCTGGACGATACCAGATCAGATTCATTGATTGTGATACACCAGTACCATCTGTGCCAGTGGCAAGCCCCAGGGCGACGAGGGCAGAGACAGAGCATCTGATAAGAGGACATGAGGAAGACATACATACCACCTCAGCGCCAGCATCGCTATGACTCACGGGTCAATCAAGTACGCGGCACATCCGCCGTGCATTGTTCCATAGACGTTACACATGTCTTGGAAACGATCAGAGTGAAGATGCGGCAGGCATCGTGGAAGCACAGACCTCTCGTAACCTCGATTTCGCACACCGTTTCAGCTTCTTTTCGCCCAGTGGAATCTGTGAGTCCGTATACATTGACCACTGCTAGTCTGAGGTCACGTCCTATGGCTGCGCCGAAGGACGTGGCAGGCTGGCCTATGAAGTGGGCAAAAATCTCGGCGCAACGCTTCTTCTGCGTGAGGGAGACATTGCCTTCGATGGAAGAGATGTCATTGGAAGGAAGGAGGAGGGACGAGGACGAGGAGGACAACATCGGAGAAAGAGGGCGATATTATGGAATACGGTAGGTAGAATATTAGATTGACCTGTCTCCTTTATAGCCTGGGTAACCCGACCGGCTAACTCGCGCCAAAGCCCCTGCATTGATAAACCTCCGTATGAGTGATTGAGTAAGTGATGTCACCAGTATCCGATCAATTAGGTGTCGTCGAGCTTTAATGAATCCACACCAGTTCCACGTAGCTCGCAGGGAACGAAATGGGGTTATTAGGCAAATGTTCCGTCGGATGATCTCCACCAGCGCCACAAGCACGCACTGAGATTGTGAGATTAGTTGTAGGTGCTCACTATCCGGATGGAGACTAGTACACAACGAGAGGCCAAACGCATATGTTTTCCACATTCTGGTCGGGTACTGCCGTGCTAAACACCGATAGCTTGGGGCTGTGCTCGACTACTATTATACACATGGGTCAGTGGAACGATAAAAGTGAGGGTCTATTGCATGCCGAACTTACTCTGGAAGACATGTATTGAAAATCACGACATGCAACACCCGGTCCGCTTGCATGTATGTACTTATTCAAAAGCTCAGAACAAAAAAGTGCTGCGATACAATGGTACGGCAGCCTGGTGCGACTGTTGCGAACATCATTGTGAAGTGACAGGCGGGCTGCGGAATGACGGTATGAAAGGTCCAAGTTTAGCGTTGCAGTGCATACTGTAACTATACAGACAAAGAACCAACAGTGATCCAGGGAGTGGTGAACACAAGGAGGAATCCCATTTTGAGGGGAATCAACGTCTTACCTAATGGTAAATGATCGCTTTCCATGTGAGGTCAGTACGGATTCCCGGAACTTGTACCTCGCCACCATCTTCTCCACAGCCTCCCACTTATCCATCAACGCCTCTTCCGCCTCGGTGATCTATACGAATGGTCAGAGTGCTGAACAGGATGCATGCAGAGACAAGGACGGAGCAAAGATGGATGTAGAACGCGTAATGATGGGTGCCATCTCCTTTGCTACGACTCGGAAGCGCGTCTAGGCGTGCTTGGAACATTCCCAACGATACGCTGACAGTTGTTTGAATATATGGCAGTTGATTTCATAGCACTTTCCGTCCTCCAGAATCGCGTATAGACTGTACGCCGTGCAGTACGGACCGGAATGAACGAGAGGCGGGGCCGGGAAAGTGGTGCATCGGGTAACATTAGGACCCGGCTGAGCGCGACCTTCACTGTATGTTTGTGAGGGAGGGATACAGTCCGGATGTATTATGATATCATCTCGATGTGCACCAGGAACGTTCCCGTTGGCAGCGCCGCGGCTGCTGTTACGGTCCTACCCTTCATTTGCATTCATTCGGGACGGCCTGCCTGAATTAAATTGCTGCTTATCATGTCGCAGTGCCAATTTGAGAGTCATGAGAAGTGGCCGTAAGGGACGGAGACGGGCCGTCAAGTGCGTTGAATGCTACAGGATAGTCTTAATGGGAATCATCATCTGTTGCAGTGGTCGAGGAGTGTCTCGTGCACAAGTCGCCCGGGGTCAAAATCCGGCACTGATGAGTTGGGAGATCCCGGCTACATTGAGGCCACCGTGGGCGGACTGACGTTGATAGATTGTCAAGGTTTGGTTGGACCTTACTTCAAATTGTATCGACCGTTCTGGGTGCAGGAGATGATCTAGTCGTCGAGGAGCGCGTCATGAATCACGGAATTATAACAGATATTGATAACTGATAGCATAACAAACCGGAGTGTACGATAATTATTAGTTTCGCCTTGCCGAACGAAGATTTATAATTTAGCCAGGGAGGGGCGTATGTTGTTGACAGTCGTATGAACAGCGGAAACGTACAATTTGTCCCTTTCCTTGTCCCAAAGCTGGGAACAAAGTAAGCACTGGATAGCACTAGATCACTGTCACAAGCAAACCTCGCAGCGAGCGGTCCGAATTCGACCATGAATGAATACGGATGTTGAGATCACCCTGAGCGTTGTTCCCCTAGACGAAAGTATCAGTATCGGGAAATCACGAGGAACGGGAGAAGACGAGTTTCCGAGCCTAAAAAGACGAGACCTCAAAAGGGTTAAGTGTTTTCTTAACAGCTTTCCCGGCCCAAAGGGACATTTAATCACGGACCGGAAAAGCGTTGTAAGGAAAAAGGAATGGACCTCAAGGGTCATGTTCTCCTGCAAAAGAAACCGGTTCCAACTCGGAGAAAATGACACGCACATTTTTGCCGGCTGGTGCCAGATAACGTTGAGAGATTGCGAGACGCCTGTTCCATCAGCTCCAATGGCAGCGCCCAGAACTACCAAACTGGACACAGAGCACCTAGGAAAAGGTCGGTGAGACGATGCAAACTGATGTACGGTGTAACGCTGCAGGGCCGGTAGATTTATACGGCGAAAGCGCGACCTGAACAGGACTGGCGTTATCTCATAAAACAAGACCAGTCCCCGTCGCGTCTTCCTTCCGTAAGATTCCCGAGCCCCTGCAGGACCGGTAGGTATTCAGATGCGCAAAAAAAGAATTCTAACAAGTCCTGCCCTTTCCCGCCGTCTTTAATCGTCGTATTACAGAGCAACGCGTTTTTTTTCGTGACATTTTCTGGACCACGCCTCAAAAAGACAGGCGGGAAAAGTAATACCTATTAGGTTCTTCTTTGTATTTCCCATAGGCATACCAATCCAGATATGAGGGTACGAATGGACGTACGGGTCGACGATATATGCGGCACATGCCCCGTGCAAGGTTCCAAAAACATTACACATGTCTAGGAAGAAAAGAAAAGTAAATGAGTAACCAGACCGTTTATCCTCACAGGAACGACTCGCCTTTTTCGACATCGATCTCAAAGATTGTCTGTCCTTGCGCCGCAGTCCCGCTAGCATCCCGGCCCCAAATGTTCATTTCGACCAGGCGCAACCGTCTACCGACCTCAGCACCATAGGATTCCTCCAGACTATTCACAAAATAGGAGAAAATATTGGCGCCAAGTTGTTTTTCCTCGTTCGAGATATTGCCCTTGATCATCGAGACGTCGACATGGGGTGCCGGCGGCAGAGAATGGAGAAATGAGGTTGGAATGGTCGACATTGTGAAGGACACAGTGGTGGTTGAAAGACAGATCCGTACATCGTTGACTTTAAGAAAAAAAAAACTAGAAATGACAATTGACGCGCCAATATAGTTCTTCGGACGTCGCGGAAGGGAAGAAGCCTAATCTGGCATTTGCCACTGTCATGTCACTCTTTCCCCTTCGTCCAGTATCTGGCTCCAACTGCCTTGTAATTGCACCGGCAAGTTCTATCTACCTGCAGCAAGGTCACGGCTTTCACGTCTATCATAGGTAGGGAGGAGTGTTTTTAATGGAGTCCCCGCCTCAAGGAGCAAAACTGCCGTGACCGGCCGAACCCCAAGACTTAAATGACAGCCAACTATCTCAGAAGCGTGTCCATCAGTGGCATATCCAGACGTACACATCATCAAGAGATGATCCTTGCCATGCAGAGAAAGGAAAATGAGACGTTTTGAAGTGAATGATGTGGTAGAAATGGTGAGTGCTGCTCTGCTTATGTATCGAAAAAAAGTTTGGTCACATCATCGAGTCGTGGTTCATACCCTCGGGGAAGAACGCCGCCGCAGTACGTGTCTTCCCGTGAGGGGGGTCACTGGGGAACACGAAAATATCGCACCCGAACGACGTATGCCAAGGGCAAAATAGCTTATCTTGAGGAGCCAGGTGGTCGGATCATTGACTAACGAATTATGCCTACAGGCGTTCGTTGCATTTCCCAAACCTTGAATGCTGATGTTCTCAAATTCATTGCGATGCAAGTTCAGTGTGACTCTCTTCCGGCTCTTCACAGGTACGTGTAGGGAGCGTGTTCTCCACCATGAAGTGTCTTGAGAATGAGCTTAAAACGAAGTTATGAATGACTGATTTGTTCAATATAGCTCGTCCCAAAATTGATACAACTTGCTGCAATACTGAGCCCGATGTACTCGGTAAGCGTGAAGTGTGTGTGGCATGTTCAACCCGGTTTGAAACTCACTTTGGTGTGTAACTCGAAATGTCTTGCTTTTGACGCTGCTCGCAGATGATGAAGCGGGAACTCATGCCAGCAACATATGGGAAATCTTCTACGATTTTTACCCTGATAAAGCTTCTCTCAACCCTCTTATTGGATCAGTATCAAAAACTTGCAGACCTAGCCAAGTCGTCAGATGAATGGAATCAGTCTACGTATGGCGCCTTCTTGAGGTTCATTGGTACACTCTTGGAACTACGAGGTTACTGGGAACGCTTTCTTTGAACGGATCGCCTGTCTGAACAAGGCAAACGGCGTCTCCAGAGTCAATTCCAGAATGGACATGAACAAAGCGGCCGCCGAAGCATCTGAGGACAGCCTAGTGTACAATGCATGTCGGTCACTATGGCAGGCAGGACATTGGAAAGCTTGCTCCAAACCATTTCAAATCGTACTGGAAATCCGGAGTTACGCGTACTCAGCCGGTTGCCAGTTCTCCACCATCCCTGCATGTCAATCCCATGTTCGTCCATTCAATCGAAAGGTCATAAGTTATCTTTCATGTGCACTTACGGCACCGATCCGATACTACCATTCCATTTCGCCGCAACGGTGCCTGCCGTTTCTGGCGATCATGAGTGGATCCTGACTGCGGAGACGGTGGTAATCGTGGCGAAGATACAGTTTGAAGAGTGGTCGGGTGGCTTGGGACTGGAATGCAATCTTCGTATCCGGTGCGTGACAAAGT